CAAAAGAAATCATATCTAACTTTCTACAGAATGGGTGATTTGTTTTTAAGAAACTGTTATGAAAGTTGGTATATGAGTGAAAATTACAAAATTATTACCGTTGTGTTTAATACTAATAGATTTGATTTTCCCCAAGTATATTCTTTTCTGTAGGTAATGCAGAAGAGCTTATTTCAAGGAAAGAGGAGAAATTAAAGAAGTTGTTAGTCAAACATAAAATAGCTTGGACCAAGTATAGGAAACTGTGGCACTTACGAAATCAACTGAACTTGTGTAACTTTTCAGAGGTCAACTAGAAATATAGCTTTTAGACCATGTTACTTCCTAGATTTACCTTTCTATTTACCTTTCACTGAAATTCAGATATTTGGGGCTTGCTTGAGTCCATTGGCTGATGTTTTTTTCTAAATATATCCATTAAAACTGAAACTGTTTTTTTCACAGTCATGGTAGAAAGTTTTGGGATTTGAACATGAATAGTTCAGGGATTTTTTTTTTTTTCTGAAAAGATAGCACAATTTAAAAATAATAGAAAAAATACCACCTAAATGACTACCTCAGATATTTGTTAATTTTGCCTCTATAAATTTACCTTCTTGTTCTTTTTGGTTTTTCAAGTATTTATCAATATAATGCCAAGGGATGACACTATAAGCTTTGCAGAGTTGATTAGGGCATTCTTTGCCATATTCCAAAAGAAAGCAGACTCAAAAGCAGTGTAGCACTGGAGTGTTCCCCAAGGTACAATGTGACTCTTGTGTAAAAAGTGAATAGTGTGATTAAGTTAATTCCAAGATTACAGTCTCAGCGATATTTACCAAATATCTCAAAACTTCAAGGACAATCCTTATTTTCACATCTGTTTATTTGGCGGAGTTTTCAAGTTAGGAGAAAGAGGAAGAATTTCATTGACATACTATCACTCTGTCACTATAGTGGGTCCTTAAAATTCAAGTAGGAACTAAAAGAAACTTTTCAATATTCTGTGCTGTATGCTTGTCATATGTCTGCATTATCTTGAACTGAGTCCTATATCAGATATGAAAAAAGTGTCTGGAAACTTCCTCCAAACTATCTGCAATTCTGGAGTGGGATAGCTAGATGATTTAATTGATCATATTATAATTATCTGAATTTCTCTTGGTTAATGAAACAATAGTATAAAGCAAATTAAAATAAAGAAACAAAGATGTAGTCTCTGAAATATTGACTGAGATTTTTTCTTTCGTATCTGTTAAAAATGGTTCAATTTTCAATTTTAGAGTATTTTCCTGAAGAAATAATGTATGTATTATTTATTCAAAATTTGCTTTTTATATTTTATAAGCCACCTTTGAAGTGACTTCTGTGATATATTAATAGATAGATGGCAAATGCAGTTAACTAGTATTTAATGTAGCTTATTATGACATAGTTCTGATTTTCTTTATGTAAGTAAAGTAATATGCTCTTAAAAAATTCGGTACAGTATAAAAGGTCATAAAAACGCATAATGGTGTTATTTCTACTCTGCTTGAAGGAGTTCCAATGTTTTACAATTAACCTCTGAGCCTCAATTTCATCAATATGAAAGAGCTGTTATAAAGATGAAAAGTCAGAAATAGGTAACATTTAGCTCAGAGACTGCCTGCTGTGAGAGAATAATAAATAAAATAATTCATAATAATTCAAGAATATTCATACGTTTGTAAATTTAATGCTAAATTTAAGACTCAAAAATGTATTCAGAAAGGTTAATAACAGTAACACTGTGCAGAATATCCTAGAACGTGCATGTTCATATTCACAGCCATTACTATCCCCAGGGCACTTATACTAGTAGAAGATGTAAAAGCAAGTAATGGCAGATTGTGCTGCTCAATTTATGGGCTTTATCCCTTAATCCGATGGTGCACTCTGTGACCCTCTCGTGGCCTTTGGCATCCATAAAATAATTATATAATAGAAAATGGAAAATGTTAGAAAACTATCCCTAAAACAGATGCTTGAGTCATATCCTGCCTGTGCTCCATCCTTTTGAAAATCCACATTCATCCAAACGGGAGCAGCTACTTTCATTTCTGTCTCTATTTAGTTTAATCCTTTGTTTTGAGCGCTGCTTTCAGATAGAGCTTTCAGGGAACACTGATGGCTAGGGACCAAATTAAGAACACTAAGTCAGTTTGTAAAGGCCAGTGAGAAGCAGGAAAATGGAAATTACTTTCAGATAGATATTACTAATCTGCACCAGGTTTGGATGAGGAGCTTAGCAATAAAGGGTCTGCATCTTATTACTCATCACTTGAGTCACTTTTTCTTCTTGTTCTTTTATTAACTCCTGTTATTTTAAAGAGTGCTTTCGGAATGTTTTCCCTTAAGTATAGGAAATGATGATCTTCATTCAAACCTTTGACGTTTTTTTTGTTGTTGTTCCTCTTCTCCTTAGGGATGCAGATCTGTTCCTGTTAGACACAAGAAAGGCCCAAGCTTTAGATGTGGGTTGGCTTGTCTTTGATATCACTGTGACCAGCAATCACTGGGTCATTAATCCACAGAACAATCTGGGTTTACAGCTCTGTGCAGAGACAGGGGATGGTAAGTGCTGAATTTCATGTTTTTTGTGGGACTCATTTTGACACATTGAGAGTTACTGCATTTTGTGTGATTTACCCAATAGATGTTTTATACTTGTGATGTACAAGGTAGCACATTCCATGGGATAGTGTAAGAGTATATTAATTAGTGAATCAATTTAGAACATATTGATCCAACATATTTATTGTCAGGCTCTGGAGTAGGGGGTGAAGAAGAAGTAGGCACTGCTACTGCTCTCAAGAAATCATTAGTCTAGTGCTGAAGACCTATATGTAAACAAGGGGCACTATTATAATGATATCAAAAGAAAGCTATATATGAAGTGCTATGGATCTATGTCTTGACTGTGGTGGTGGTTACACTATGTAATTTGTAAGAGTATATTAATTAGTGAATCAATTTAGA